GAATCTTTGAATCTTTGAAATCCATTTTTTTCCTTCGCAGTTCCATTATAAATTTGAGATTTAAGAATCTACCCTCTTTTTCAATGCAATATAAGTCCTTTTACATTATTAATTTGAGATTTAAGAATCTACCCTCTTTTTCAATGGAATATAAGTCCTTTTACTTCATTAGGAAGTTTGAGGAAGCTTGATGAGCAGCCTGAGTGGTTGAAAGGTGGGAATCTTCGGGATTATCAGCTTGAAGGTTTGAATTTTCTAGTTAACAGGTGCGAATTTGGTACTTTGGCTCAAGTTTGTGTATTGAAATTAGTTTTCTTGGTTTCCTGAAGTTGTTTTCACATGCGAAGTTGTTCTGATCGTTGTCTCTTTTGCAGCACAGCTGGAGAAATGATACAAATGTAATATTAGCTGATGAAATGGGTCTTGGAAAAACTGTTCAGTCAGTTTCAATGCTTGGTTTTCTACAGGTACTTCTGCTTTAGCTGTCTGCTATGACTCTTTTTAATGCTTTGGTAATAATTCATAATTTTTTTTCCACAGAATGCTCAGCAAATTCAAGGTCCCTTTCTTGTTGTTGTTCCATTGTCTACTTTGTCAAACTGGGCAAAAGAATTCAAAAAGTGGATGCCTACCATGAATGTTATCATATATGTTGGCACCCGTGCGAGTCGCGAGGTATTTAAAATCCTGTTTCTGTGATGCATATTTGACTTGCGTTGGATTTTATGCACTAATGCAAGTAGTTATTTATTTTTTTTTGTTTCCATGGGGTAGGTTCTGTTCTTTGTTTTTTATTGTTACATTTTGTTATAATAAAAGATTGTGCTGTACAGTTGGCTGCTGATGCCTTGAGATCTTTTTCACATTTTATTTTCTCTTGAGATCTCTATGCCTTCTGCACATTTAAATGAATCTCCATTAAAGTATACCTCTCTTTGCAAGTGCAATTACTCGGAAAGCATTGAATGCTTCCTAATGAGTCCTTCAACTTGTATTTGCAAAAAAATTCTTTGCCTAGTTCGTGGTCACAAGACATTTATTGTCAAGGCGTGGTAGGTAAAGGAGGGATACAAAGAAGTACTTCTACTGCAAAAGCCCTACTGCTGAGTCCTTGCTTGTCTTGAACTGGCACTATTGTACTATTAGGATAGACCGTCTCCGGAACCCTTTCTTTTTTAATTTGTCGTTTATATGTAAATACTTCTTTTTAAGGTTTTATATTTGCACTATTTGATTTCCCTCTTTGATATGTTACTAGCAAATGATCTTATGGAACAATGGGTGTGCTTTTTGATCTTATAATGAAGTTTGTATTTTAGTCTTTTTTGTTTGAATTTGTCAAACTGTAGCGGTGATCATGTGTCTAACTGGCAGACCGGCCTTTAAGTTTTATGACAAGCCCATATTATCCAATCATGGGATACTATTCTATATTTTCTATGTGCTGCTGGAACTTCTTTCCTGTCAACTGTTATCACATTAATGCTACTATCATTACATAACCCTAAAAATGATCCGACAAAGTACACGTCAGTTCTAGACCAACAATTCAGATGGTCCATTAGAGTGCATTAAAATGATAGTTTTGGCTGTATATGATGCTGATTTCTGTGGTCTATTGTTTGGATCGGAAAACTGCAGCATCACTACTGTGATGGTGGATGGAATTTGATGCGTACATTGACATTGTTTTTTGTGCTGTAAGAGTTTTTCTTAAAGAGAATGAGATCTAGGCTTAATTTATTCATTTTTGTCCTCCGTTTCTTAATCTGCGAGAAGTGGGACTTAGCTTCCGTGATCGCTTTGGACGCTTCTCCAGTGTTCCTTTTTTGCATTTAATCTTCAATGTCTTTTCCTCCTTTTTGTTTCATTTTCGAATAATATATCTGATTGCAGGTCTGCCAGCAGTATGAATTTTACAATGACAAGAATATGGGCAGGAGTATAAAGTTTGATACCCTTTTGACTACGTACGAGGTATTATTGAAAGATAAGGTAGTACTCTCCAAAATTAAGTGGAACTATCTTATGGTCGATGAAGCACACAGGTTGAAGAACAGTGAGGCCTCTTTGTACACAACATTGTTGGTATGATGAAATTCGACTGAGTATATGCTTGGCTCATATATTATACTTCCGAGGTAGGTACTTAGTGGGGATTACATATTTTTCACAGGAATTCAGCACAAAGAACAAGTTGCTTATTACTGGTACTCCCCTTCAAAACAGTGTTGAAGAGCTATGGTAATAAATATTTTCATCCTAAGAACCTATGCTGTTTAGCCAATTTGTTCATCACTTCATCTTCTAGAATCAATTGCCTCCATATCTAGACAGTAGACCAGTGTCCACTTGAATTAACTTTAAAGTTTTAGTAAAAGTTGTTCTGTCCTGAATTAAGAGAATTATCAGTAGAGTCTAACTTGAAGATTTATCAGAAGCTCCATTCTTTTTGGGTTCTTTTAGGGCTTGGAGAAACGAATATTTGTGGGGTTTCTTGTATTCATGGTGAGGGATTACTGGGAACAACTGAAATGTTCTTTCGCTTTTATTTGCCTGTATTTTTTTGGTTCTGCGTGGTTATTACAGATTAGTGATCTGTTGCGGATATCAATTCTACATTTCTTGCATATACATCTCAGCGTACATGTGGCTGGCAATTTATGTATATTTTTTATGGATGATAGGGCTTTGCTTCACTTTCTTGATCCTGACAAGTTTAGGAGCAAGGATGACTTTGTGCACAAGTACAAGAATCTTAGTTCATTTAATGAGATTGAGGTACTAGTCCCTTCTGCTTAATCTCCAATTCATCCCATTTTCTGAATGTAAATTTTGTGTCCATTGATTTGTTACACTTTGGCATGAAATTTGTGTTCTGTTTCTTTGTAGCTTGCCAATCTGCACATGGAATTGAGACCTCACATTCTCCGAAGAGTCATAAAAGATGTGGAGAAGTCCTTGCCTCCAAAGATTGAACGCATCCTTAGGGTTGAGATGTCACCACTGCAGAAACAGTAAATATCTTTTTGAACTAAAACAATTAATTTTTTTTTTT